TGATATTTATATTTATATATTAGTCATAAATATATATATATATATATATATATATATATATATATATATATATATATATATATATATATATATATATATATATATATATATATATTCACATATAGATAAATTTGTATATATGTATATTCATATATATGTATTGATGTATGTGTATGTACATATATTGCAAAATTTAATATTTTGTAAGCAGATTTGTAATCCCTGCTGAATAGTTATCATTCCTTGTTCTTTTATCTATGTCTTGTCTCCTCCATCTGTTTTATCTGTAGTTTGAATTTTTTCTTTTTTCTCTCTCTCTCTCTCTCTCTCTCTCTCTCTCTCTCTCTCTTCCATCATGATATTTCAACTTATGTCCTTTTCCTATCTCTGTCAAAATTTGATTTAACCTGCTGGATCAGGGTGACTCGCCACTTACACATGAACCAAAATCTGGGCATTAGGTTACTTGAGTGGTGATACTCATGCATAGTGCTTCCTTGCTTCCACTTTTCACTTCGCTTAGCTCTTTTCCTGAAGTATTGTTTTTTTGCCATATCCCAAGATCAATATTTTTCATGTATCATGCAGTAAAAGCAATGATAAGTAACTGTGTTATTTACATTTTTTTTTTTTTTTTTATATTTTTGTATTTTTCAATTTTTGCCTAACATCCTGAGCCATGAGTGTCCTTCCTGGAACCGATGCTCTAGCAGGCATGGCCCACTGAGTCAATCTCTCTCCAAAGGCTTTGTGCACTTGTGGCGAGAAGTCCCCTTCACCCCCCCCCCCCCCACACTCAGCAATAGTATTCCATGGGGAGATTCTGGCATTGCGCCTAGCCCACGGTCAAATTCTTTTCTGTGGCAAGACATTCTTATCATCTGCCCCCTCGGAAGAAATTTCTTCGTGACACTACTTGCCCATCCCCCAGATCCAACGGGTTAATAGCCAACTATTCTTTGATATTTCTCTTTTTGTCTCTTATTGTAACAGGATATCTCTCTTCTGATTCTGGGCAGGGTGGGAGTAGACAGCATTCACATACATGAAGCCTTTCAGTAAAGTTTTTCTTCTCATTCTTCTCTCTTAGGGCTTTTGTCTTGTTTGGATGTACACAACACATACAAAACTATTTTTTTACTACTCATAGAAGGGTACAGGATGATACAGAATGTCTGACTATTTTATTGGTGAAAATTTATCCAGTGGATTTATTTTTTTATATTTTTATTACATATATATATATAGCTACACACCTTTTTTCAGTATATCTTTCTTTTCTCACCTTACACTCACATTTACTCACTCTCTCTTATACTCTTTTCCAGATTTTGGATTTTTTCATCACAATTTCTTTAACTCTGTCATTTTTCTTGTAATGTTCTCACCTTCTTACTTCTTTTCTCAGACAAAGAAAAGAAAAGAAAAGGCTTTTACCTCTACCAATATGTATATGAAAAGGGAACTATTTGTGAAATTATTAAAGAAATCTATTTACTGAGGTTTCTTGCAAACTCCATTTTGAATATAGGCAGGCAGAAATGTAATTCATTGCTTTCATTTATAGCTTGATGGATGCCTGTGAAGTCATTGTATTTTTTTCCCCTTTTTCACTTTTTTCTAATGATGGTGATGTACATAGCTTTGCTTTCTCCATAGCAGTAGGCCATGACATCCATATTTTTTAGGCTATACTTTTAAGCAATATCCATAAATGCTAATGTACAAAAGGTTTAAAGATAGTCTAATGGCACCAGCTATCCTGAATTATTATTATGAAAGTATTTAGAACTCAGTACCTAATGGCAGCATATCAGATGTGTGTGTATATATAGTCTTAAGTGTATACAATAAGAAAGATTTATGATATTAAAGATTGAGGGAAAATCCTACCATATCTCAGATCCTTTTGCACAGATTATGAGATGCAAAATGTCTTTACCATATTTTGCATTGCTCTGCATTCCGCATGTGATAGAGATTTGGGAGTGAACTTATGCAAATGCGAATCGTTAACTTTGTAGTGTCTTTTGGAAATTTTACCTTAGCATCAAGTGAACATAATATCAAGAATTCATCAGTTATATCTTGATATTTCTGGATTTCTGGATTTGTTACTTGGGAATATCAGTATTTTTATTGTCTGTAAAAGAAAAGAGATAAAAAGATACTGAGAAATCTTGATAATTATGCTGGAGAATATAGCAGAAATAGAAATGGATATGCATATAGTTACCACAAGGGAATTTGCCTTAGAAGTGTATCTCTCTCTCTCTCTCTCTCTCTCTCTCTCTCTCTCTCTCTCTCTCTCTCTCTCTCTCTCTCTCTCTCTCTCTCTCTCTCTCTCTCTCTCTCTCTCTCCCCCTTTCCCTCTCCCTTTCCCTCTCCCTTTCCCTCTCCCTCTCCCTCTCTCTCTAACTCTCTCTCTCCCTTTCCCTCTCCCTTTCCCTCTCCCTCTCTCTCTCCCTCTCCCACTCCCACTCCCTCTCTCCCTCTTTCCCTCTCTCCCTCTCTCCCTCTCTCCCTCCCTCCCTCCCTCTCTCTCTCTCTCTCTCTCTCTCTCTCTCTCTCTCTCTCTCTCTCTCTCTCTCTCTCTCTCTCTCTCTCTCTCTCCCTCCCTCTCTCTTTCTCTCTCCATTTCTTTCTTTTTCCCTCTTTATCTTTTTTCCTCTTACCGTCCCCCTCTCCCTCTCCCTCTACTCCCTCTTCTCCTCTCTCTTCTCTCCCTCCCTCTCCCTCCCTCCCTCCCTCTCTCCCTCTCTCTTCTCCTCTCTCTTCTCTCCCTCCCTCTTTTCCTCTCTCTTCTCTCCCTCCCTCCCTCTTCTCCTCTCTCTCTCTCCCTCCCTCCCTCCCTCCCTCCCTCCCTCCCTCTTCTCCTCTCTCTCTCTCCTCCCTCCCTCCCTCTTCTCTCCCTCCTTCCCTCTCCTCTCTCCTCTCTTTCCATTACTCCCTCCCTCTCCCCTCTCTTCCTCTTTCTGCTCTCCAACCCCCTCACTGCTCTGTATTTCAAAATATTTAACAATTTCTTCCACATCAAACCAAATACTAACAGCCTTGCACACACCCTCTATCCCTCAGACAGCAGAGTTGAATGCCGCCAGAGAGAGGGTGCGGGAGCTCCAGAACCGCCTTCAGGAGCTGGAGGAGAACCTGACAATAACTCAGAAGGAACTCGTGAAGGCGCAAGAGATTAATGCACGACTACAAAGAGATCTCAAGGTAATTTTATCTTTTTCGTTTTTTTATTAACAATTTGAATATGCCGGAAATGACGATTATTTTTCGTGGTCACTGATGGTGGCTTAACTCAACTAGGGGGGACCTTTGCCGATCGTCTTATCTTGTTTTTCTTGCGCAGGAAAATGTTGCACAGAAGGAGGACCAAGAGGAACGTATTGCCACGTTAGAGAAACGGTACCTTAATGCTCAAAGAGAGTCCACGTCTTTACATGACCTTAATGAGAAGCTAGAAGAAGAACTAAAGAACAAAGAGGCCCAGTATAAAGTGAGTATGATGGCTACCTATTTTGTGTGTGAGTGAGTGAGTGAGTAAGTGAGTAAATGAGTTAGTGAGTGTTTGAGTGTGCGTGCATGGGAGCGTGTGTGTTTGTCTGGTAATATGCATGCATATGTACATGAATGTTGTTTTTTTTTTGTGTGTGTGTGTGTGTCTGTGCTCATAAAGATGTATGTTACTATATATAATCTAAAAGAGGCTCATCATTGGAATCTAATCACTTCCTTTCCACAACAGCTTCAAGAAGACAAGATCAGAGCCTTGCAAGAGAAGGTGGAACTGAGTGAACAGAAACTGGCACAGTATGCCAAGTTACCGGACGTTGAACAAGAATTGAAGCAACGCATGGAGGCCCTTCACCAGGTAAGCAGCGTTCGTAGACAGGTCGATAACTATCTCTTTCTTGAATCATACATATTATTGCTCTTTAAGAGTAGGCTGGGATTACTCATTTTATCTCATTTTAACAGGGTGTGCCAAAGAGCCCCATCTTTGTACGTTTTGAGAGAAAAAAAAAAATCTTTTTGGACTGACGATGTTGTGTTGTTCATTGTTGTTTGCTGGATGTTATTTGTTATTGATATTATTTATATTCTCATCACCATTACTATTATTATTACTGTAGTTGTTATTATTATCATTATTTATTATCATTCTTGGTATTGATTTTATTATTAGAAGTAGTATTAGTATGAGTAGTTGTATATTGTTATCATGACAGTTCTGGTATTGTTTTTTTTTTTTTTTTTTTTTTTTTTTTTTTTTTAATCTTTCCCTTTTTGTACATTGTCTTACCAATAATACTTATGCATTGTAGAATGGTTGCCGTACTGTCTTTAGAGATTTTCTATTTTTTTTCTTTTTATGTTTGCATTTGATTTTATTACTTTCTCAGTCTTAAGTGGAGAAAATAATACATCCTTTGTACTGCTTCACTGTATGCCAAGTTCTAATCACTTTTAGATACAATATCTGGGATTTTTTTCAAGAGGGTTTCAAAAATGTTGCATCACAATTTTCTGTTGTAAAGAATGTTTGTAATTGTTTCTTGCTGGGTATCCTGAACATTTTGTCTATGAAAAAGAAGTTTCATCATCGTAATCGTTGTCATCATGATGCCTTACAAGTATTTAATTTCAACTACATTTTCTCCTCCTGCATTTTCCTTTTGTTTTCTTCCTTACTCATTTTTGCATTCACTCCTCTCCTCTTTCTGTGTTATTAATTTTTCTCTTCCTCCTCATGCTCATCTGCTTCACCTCCTCCTCCTCCTCCTCCTCCTCCTCCTCCTCCTCCTCCTCCTCCTTTCATTCTTCTCACTTGGCTTTCTCAATCAATCCTTTCCTCTTCCTCCTCCTTCTTTCATTCTTCTCACTTGGCTTTCTCAATCAGAAAACAAAATAAAGATCATGCACGAGAAAAAATCGGATTAAATGGTATTTGTCAAAACCACTCATGGTGTTAGAACTTGGCATTTTCATGGCTGTAGAATGTTAAAGATTAACTGACCAGGATAAGGGACCTTACTGGATGCATTAAGGACATCTGTATCAGATTTCTGTTAATAGACCTCATGTTGAGTTTAACCCCTTAAGGACGGGAAAATTCAAGACTTCACGAGCACAAAAATAAAGAATTAGGAAAATTAACTTGTAATATAACTTCTGCCATCTTTTGCCTTGTGCATGAGATAAACTTCAGTGCCCTTCATTGTTTACCAGAAAAAAAATGAGTTCAAAAAATATGTATATCCTTAAGGGGTTAAGGCTTTGTCCATTGAGGTGACTCTATCAATATATTTCTTTAATTACTTATTTATGTATACCATGATTATTTACTTGTTTAATTGTCATAGTTAGAGCTACATTTTATTTGCCATTTACCCTTACTTGCTGAGGGAAATTTTCTTTTTTGCTTTAATGAATTTATTTGATGGATATGAAACTACACAAAATGTTTTTTTTTTCACAATTTTCTGTTGTAAAGAATGTTTGTAATTGTTTCTTGCTGGGTATCCTGAACATTTTGTCTATGAAAAAGAAGTTTCATCATCGTAATCGTTGTCATCATGATGCCTTACAAGTATTTAATTTCAACTACATTTTCTCCTCCTGCATTTTCCTTTTTTTTCTTCCTTACTCATTTTTGCATTCACTCCTCTTCTCTTTCTGTGTTATTAATTTTTCTCTTCCTCCTCATGCTCATCTGCTTCCTCTTCCTCTTCTTATTCCTCTTCTTCTTCCTCCTCCTCATTCTCCTCCTCCTCCTCCTCCTCCCCCTCCTCCTCCTCCCCCTCTTCCTCCCCCTCTTCCTCCCCCTCTTCCTCCTCCTCCTCCTCCTCTTCCTCCTCCTCCTCCTCCTCCTCCTCCTCTTCCTCCTCCTCCTCCTCCTCCTCCTCCTCCTCCTCCTCCTTCACCTCCTCCTCCTTCACCTCCTCCTCCTCCACCTCTCCCTCCACCTCCTCCTCCACCTCCTCCACCTCCACCTCCTTCACCTCCTCCACCTCTTCTACCTCCTCCTCCTCCACCTCCTCCTCCTCCTCCACCTCCTCCTCCTCCTCCTCCTCCTCCTCCTCCTCCTCCTCCTCCTCCTCCTCCTCCTCCTCAATCAATCCTTTCCTCTTCCTCCTCCTTCTTTCATTCTTCTCACTTGGCTTTCTCAATCAGAAAACAAAATAAAGATCATGCACGAGAAAAAATCGGATTAAATGGTGTTTGTCAAAACCACTCATGGTGTTAGAACTTGGCATTTTCATGGCTGTAGAATGTTAAAGATTAACTGACCAGGATAAGGGACCTTACTGGATGCATTAAGGAAATCTGTATCAGATTTCTGTTAATAGACCTCATGTTGAGTTTAACCCCTTAAGGACGGGAAAATTCAAGACTTCACGAGCACAAAAATAAAGAATTAGGAAAATTAACTTGTAATATAACTTCTGCCATCTTTTGCCTTGTGCATGAGATAAACTTCAGTGCCCTTCATTGTTTACCAGAAAAAAAATGAGTCAAAAAAATTTATATCCTTAAGGGGTTAAGGCTTTGTCCATTGAGGTGACTCATATCAATATATTTCTTTAATTACTTATTTATGTATAACATGATTTATTTACTTGTTTAATTGTCATAGTTAGAGCTACATTTTATTTGCCATTTACCCTTACTTGCTGAGGGAAATTTTCTTTTTTGCTTTAATGAATTTATTTGATGGATATGAAATCTACACAAAATGTTTTTTTTTTTTTTTTTTTTACTTGTAAAATACTTTTTATTCTCCCACCCAGCTTCTAGCAGCAGCACCAACTTACCAGCATGCAGTGTAGATCGAGAAGAGGTCTCCATAGATTTATTCCTAGATCACCATATATTTTGTAATACAGTGTGCTTTGGAGAGAGGTCTTGAAGCTAGTACATAAAATAGTTCTTGCACTTTTTTCTTTGAGTTGTAATAGAAAACTGCTAACTTAGCACACTATCCTTTTTAGATTTATCTTTCCAATTAACCCACTCATGACAGGATGTCCCCATGCCATACCAAGCTACATTCCTTGCTTCATGTGCAGTCAGCCTCTCTAGTGAAAAATTAAAAGCATGGGAAACGTACATTTATCCCACTCTTAATTATCTTTGGTGAAATGGTTTTAAGGAAGTGAGAATAAAAAGAGGCATTAAGTCTACTTGCAAGGGGCTGTTTCTCTTCAGTGACCCCAAGGAGGACCAAACAAATAAACAACTTAAGGGTGACTTGACTAAATATGACATGATTAGACATCATCCACCATAAGTGAAGTTTTGACCATATGCCACTGACTGATATTTAAATATATGTATCTTTTTTAAAGAAGCTGCATCAACTTAGAATTGTAAGAACATATTTGGTCTGGAAAAATTCTTGATTACAACATCAGAGTTGATACTGAAAATGTGTTTATTGTAATTTTCTAAGCATAATTTTTCCTCAGTATTTTGCTGATTGATAAATAATAGTATTCACACCTGTGTTTGAAGTCAAAACAAAAGAACATAAGCTCTTGCTCCCTACAGCCAAAAGTTGAGAGCTTTTGGCCCTAGAGCTAGCACCAGGAATGGAATTCTCTGACCTGTCCCATTTTTTAATTTCAAAAGTCATCCATTCAACTAATTGCCACCTTCCATCAATAGGGTTTTTGAGAAGTCATTCTTCTAGAGATCATCCCAATATATACTCCTAGTAATTATTGATCTAAAAGCCCTCTAGTGATTCACAAATTACCCCTTAACCCCTGCCCCCTGGGCCTTCTATGCTATTAGGTATCTTACATATTAGAATGTAGATGCTTGGTATATTCAGGGATCATTGAATATCTGATAGTGTAGCTTGTAAAATGGAAATAGCATAGCCATACTGTAGATGTGATTAGAATATCATGGCAATTTAGAGAAAAATGTAACAAAAATTATATGCATGTTTTCTTCTTTTTTCTGATTTCAGTTTTGTAAATTATAATATCCTCAGAAATGATCATATTATTTTTTCAGCATATTCCATCGTAGGATTTTTTGAAAGTTTATCTTTTTTGTTTCTGCTTTTGTTTTTTATTTTTATTTTAGTGATATTTGAAGATTATTTTAATACGGATGCGACAATGAACTGCTTCAAGGAATTATTGAATAACCCTGTTAAATTGAGGTTATTGATGATAATTTTGAAATGGTGATATGATAACAACTGTTCATACCAATAAATGGTGAGAAATATATGACTAGGTAACACAAAGCACTCATTCACATAAGTGTCTGAAAATATTTTCTTGCACAAATACATGCAGATGCATTTGTTATGAGCAGACATACACATGTGTGCATATATACACTTCAAATATACAATAAAAAAGATTATGAATTCCATAACATTATACAGACAGTGTTATATATTTTTAAGTATAATGTTAGTGTTAATTTCCCACTTGTCCTTCTCTACCCCAATTCTCATATCATCCCAGAAGTCCCTTTCGCCACAGGTACAGGAGAAGCACGGGAGTGCTGAGGACCGCATTCAGCGCCTGGAGAACCAGCTCGATGAGAAAGGTGGGGAGCTGCACCGCTTGAACCAGCGCCTCAAGATGAATGAGGAGCACAATGCAAGATTGTCTGCCACAGTTGACAAGCTGCTGCAGGGTGAGTTGCATTTATGTTTGAGGAAAGTTAGATTTTTTTTTTTTTTTTTTTTTTTTTTTTTTTCTTTCCTATTTCTTCCTTTTTCTTTCTTTGCTCTTTCATTCTTTAGTTGAGGAAGTTGGGTATAGGTGGATATTGGTGACATTGGGATATCTTCATATAGTTTCTATGAGAAGCTTTGTAATTAGATTATTATTCTGTCAGGGCATAGGCATCAGGTTATCACTGAAACTGCTTTCATTATGGACGTTGACAAAAAGCACCTGAGAATTTTAGGAATGTAGAGTGTAGAGTTATTTGATCATTGTCTTTCCAATTTATAGAATCAAATGAAAGGCTGCAAGTCCACTTAAAAGAGAGGATGCATGCCCTGGAGGAGAAGAATGCACTCACAGCTGAACTGGAGAGAACAAGAAAGATCCTGGAGGACTCTGCTCAAGAAAAGGTAAGTTGCCAAGGAAATCCACACGGTAGAATCTCTTGGTAAATTGTACATCAGTCTTGGGTCATGTAAAATAGTTAATTGATATAGCAAGAGTTCATTTATCCTTTCAATTTTATTAATCTTCATTTATTGCTCAGAAAAATAAAAAAAAATCTTAGTTGTCATAATTTTGTGTAATTATCAATAGATGTTAGCGACTTACAAATTTGTCAGAGAAGAAGAGCATCCTTTTCCCTAGATTACATAGGGAATTATCACTTTAGAGCAGTTCTTAGGACCCAGGACTGGATATCTATTTAAGTGGCCACTGCCTGTGAGCTCTCCACACCAAGGGACATATATGTAGTAATTAATCATCATGCAATAGGAACGACTTCAGCAGGAGATGGAAAACCTGAAAAGGGAGATGGAGAACCTCTTCCAAGAAGGACTGGTTCGGTAAGTTCATTCCATGACGTGATACCCAGCTCTTCCCCCTGCCCCCCCTCGAACCCCAAAACCTCTTTTAGCTCTTCTTATTTTTCTTGGCACTTCTCCAGGACTACCCGACTGTACCAATCAGTGCACGCTCTAGCCCAGAGCACTTGTCATTGGTGGGCGTTGATCCCTCCATCTGCACTTCATCTTGGTCTTCTGCTTGCCTGACAGCTTGGAGACGCAGTCTACGACTTCTTCTGTTGTTTTATTATTTCTCTTTTGCCATATTTGTTTGCTTGATGTCATGCCTTTAGACACTTTTTTATTTTTTTACATTCTCTATTTACTACAGAATGAAATATTGAAAGAATTAGCAAGACGGCAACTTGAAGCAGAACAACTGAAGCAACAAATATTGCAGCAAGAGATAGCCTTCAATATTAAACAAACTGAAGCATTAACAAGGTAATAATGCATAGATAGCAATTCTGGAAAAGAGAAAAAGAAAATTGATCAGATGAAATTGATAAGGAAAAGAAAAAAAAAAGAATCAGTACTATATTTCTGACCCTATATAAAGTAATTATGAAACTGTTATTATTTATCTGAATGAAAAATCATGGCTACCCTCAATCCTCCAATAGCAATATGGAGATTTTTGGAAAATTTTCATTAGGTTTGACTTTTCAGTTACTCGACTGGTTTCCACTTTATCAGGAATGGTAGTTTTGTCTTCTTTCTCACCAAGGATAAACATTCCAGGCATTCTTGTTGATTAGATTTCTTTCTTGTTTTATTTTCTTCAAGTTCATTGAAGTTTTAGGTCCTCTTCCTCCACCTCACCCTCCTCCTCCTCCTCCTCCTCCTTCCAACATTTTAGTTGAAAATTATTTATCAAGCAAGGTTATCCATTTAGTTAATTTAAAATATTTTAAAGCTCGAATAGACACAAAATGTACTTTAAAAATCATTATAAAATGCCATTTGCTTTGCAGTCCAATTATCACTGTGAATTTTTTGGCTGGTGCTTTTGCAGAGCTTTTCTTGCATAAGTTGAATAAGAAAAAATGTCACGTAATATTGAAAAATATTCTTGTTGTTATGGAAGAAGAAGGAATGACATTTTCATATGACACTAAAATGTATTCCTTCCTTCAGTTTCGTTTTCCGCTTCTGTCCCTTTTTTTTTTTTTTTTTTTTTTTTTTACCTTGCCCTTGCTTTCTCTCTCGTCTTTCTTTTTCCCCCTCACCCTCTCTTGTTTCTCTCTCATGTTCCTTCTCCCTCTCTTTTCTTCCCATTGTGTTGCTTCCTCCCAGTCCTTCTCTTTTTTCTGCCTCTGAGCCATAGAATATGCACCAAAACCTGTAACAATAAGTCAGATATCCCTTCCTTTCTTTCTTTCATTCTGTCTTTCTTTCTTTTTTTCTCTTCTCTTTCTCTCTCTTTCTCTCTTTCTCTTTCTCTTTCTCTTTCTCTCTCTCTCTCTCTCTCTCTCTCTCTCTCTCTCTCTCTCTCTCTCTCTCTCTCTCTCTCTCTCTCTCTCTCTCTCTCTCTCTCTCTCTCTCTCTCTCTCTCTCTCTCTTCTCTCTCTCTCTCTCTCTCTCTCTCTCTCTCTCTCTCTCTCTCTCTCTCTCTCTCTCTCTCTCTCTCTCTCTCTCTCTCTCTCTCTCTCTATATATATATATATATATATATATATAGAATCTTTCTCTCTCTCTCTCATTCACACACACACACTCTCACGCACACACTCACTCACTCACTCACACACTCACACACTCACACACTCACACACTCACACACTCACACACACACACACACACACACACACACACACACACACACACACACACACACACACACACACACACACACACACACACACAAAATCTTTTTGTCATCATGCTTTTCTTAAAAACTCTTTTGAGAAAGATAAAGCTACCATACCTGAATAACATCTCACAGTTAAATTGAAAAAAAAATATATACCCGCCATGTTAAAAAAGAAAAGAAAAAAAAAGTCAAAAGCAACAAAATCCAGAAATTTTATTTTTATTTCTTTTTGATTTTTAATTTTTTTTCGAAAATCAGATTTAGCCTTCTTACCTTTATAATGCCCTTTACCAGCCTAAACTAATTGGATTAACTGTGCCTACTAATCAGTTTTGGCTTTTGTACTAAAATGCAGCCTAACAATTCGGCTAACTAATCAAAGTAGAATAACTTTGGTTAGACGTTACTAAAGTTCTTACACATACATATACCATGGGGCCAATACTTGGACATAGGCCATTACAGCATGTGATCTATCAGTTAGCCTGTCTTTTATTATATTTGTGTGATAGTGAGTGAATGAGTGAATGATAAAGTGACTGACTGAGTGAATGAGGGAGTGAGTGAGTGAGAGGAGAAAGAGGAGAGAGTGAGTGAATGAGTGAGTGAGAGAGAGGAGAAAGAGGAGAGAGTGAGTGAATGAGTGAGTGAGAGAGAGGAGAAAGAGGAGTGAGTGAGTGAATGAGTGAGTGAGAGAGAGGAGAAAGAGGAGTGAGTGAGTAAGTGAGTGAGAGAGAGAGTGAGTGAGAGGAGAAAGAGGAGAGAGTGAGTGAGTGAGAGAGAGAGTGAGTGAATGAGAGAGAGAGTGAGTGAATGAGAGAGAGAGTGAGTGAATGAGAGAGAATGAGTGAATGAGAGAGAGAGTGAGTGAATGAGAGAGAGAGTGAGTGAATGAGAGAGAATGAGTGAATGAGAGAGAGAGTGAGTGAATGAGAGAGAGAGTGAGTGAATGAGAGAGAATGAGTGAATGAGAGAGAGTGAGTGAATGAGAGAGAGAGTGAGTGAATGAGAGAGAGAGTGAGTGAATGAGAGAGAATGAGTGAATGAGAGAGAGAGTGAGTGAATGAGAGAGAGAGTGAGTGAATGAGAGAGAATGAGTGAATGAGAGAGAGAGTGAGTGAATGAGAGAGAGAGTGAGTGAATGAGAGAGAATGAGTGAATGAGAGAGAGAGTGAGTGAATGAGAGAGAGAGTGAGTGAATGAGAGAGAGAGTGAGTGAATGAGAGAGAGAGTGAGTGAATGAGAGAGAGAGTGAGTGAATGAGAGAGAGAGTGAGTGAATGAGAGAGAATGAGTGAATGAGAGAGAGAGTGAGTGAATGAGAGAGAGAGTGAGTGAATGAGAGAGAGTGAGTGAATGAGAGAGAGAGTGAGTGAATGAGTGAGTGAGAGAGAGGAGAAAGAGGAGAGAGTGAGTGAATGAGTGAGTGAGAGAGAGGAGAAAGAGGAGAGAGTGAGTGAGTGAGAGAGAGAGTGAGTGAATGAGAGAGAGAGTGAGTGAATGAGAGAGAGAATTAGTGAATGAGAGAGAGAGTGAGTGAATGAGAGAGAGAGTGAGTGAATGAGAGAGAGAGTGAGTGAATGAGAGAGAGAGTGAGTGAATGAGAGAGAGAGTGAGTGAATGGAGAGAGAGAGTGAGTGAATGAGAGAGAGAGAGTGAGTGAATGAGAGAGAGAGTGAGTGAATGAGAGAGAGAGTGAGTGAATGAGAGAGAGAGTGAGTGAATGAGAGAGTGAGTGAGTGAGTGAGAGAGTGAGTGAGAATGAGAGAGAGAGTGAGTGAATGAGAGAGAGAGTGAGTGAATGAGAGAGAGAGTGAGTGAATGAGAGAGAGAGTGAGTGAATGAGAGAGAGAGTGAGTGAATGAGAGAGAGTGAGTGAATGAGAGAGAGAGTGAGTGAATGAGAGAGAGAGTGAGTGAATGAGAGAGAGTGAGTGAATGAGAGAGAGAGTGAGTGAATGAGAGAGAGAGTGAGAATGAGAGAGAGAGAGAGAGAGAGAGTGTGAGAGAGAGAGCGAGAGAGAGAAAGAAGAAGAGAGTGAGTGAATGAGAGAGATGAGTGAGATGAGAAGAGAGAGAGAGAGAGAGAGAGAGTGTGAGAGAGAGAGCGAGAGAGAGAAAGAAAGAAAGAGAAAGAGAGAGAAAGAAAGAAAGAGAGAGCGAGCGAGCGAGCGAGTGAGAGAGAGAGAGAGAGAGTGAGTGAGTGAGTGAGTGAGTGAGTGAGTAAGAGTAAGAGTATGTGAGAGTGTGTGAATGAGTGAGTTAGTGACAGGAGAAAGAGGGTGAGAGAAAGAGAAAAAGAATGAGAAAGAGGGAGAGAGCTGTAGAGAGGGAGAGAGCTAGATAGAGAGAGAGAGAGCTAGATAGATAGAGAGAGAGCTAGATAGAGAGAGAGAGAGCTAGATAGATAGAGAGAGAGCTAGATAGAGAGAGAGAGAGCTAGATAGAGAGTGAGAGAGCTAGATAGAGAGTGAGAGAGAGCTAGAGAGAGAGAGAGAGAGAGCTAGAGAGAGAGAGAGAGAGAGAGAGAGAGAGAGAGAGAGAGAGAGAGAGAGAGAGAGAGAGAGAGAGAGAGAGAGAGAGAGAGAGAGAGAGCAAGCAAGTAAGCATATGTTCATGTGCTTATGAGTGCATGCAAGTATGTTTACCTACAGATATAGTATCCTCCAAAATTATGACATACATATATGTATATATGTATACACATATTTTTATTGATATATATATATATATATATATATATATATATATATATATATATATATATATATATATATATATATATATATATATATATATATGTGTATATATTATATATATGTATATATTTATATATATGTATATATTTATATATATGTATATATTTATATATATGTATATATTTATATATATGTTATATTTATATATATGTATATATTTATATATATGTATATATTTATATATATGTATATATTTATATATATGTTTATATTTATATATATGTATATATTTATATATATGTATATATGTATATATATGTATATATTTATATATATGTATATATTTATATATATATATACATAAATATTTATATATTTTATTTTTTTATGCAAATTTATAGAAATCCTTAAAGGGCTGGAGAAGATATATTCTCTGATATATCAGAGATTGTGCTTAGTTATTAAGTATTAGAATGATTTTATTACAATATACTCTTTTTGTGCATTTCCAATTAATTATTTGTTTGATGAATTCCAAATTGGAGCTTTTTTTTACTGAGAGCATGAGTTAGAATTTTTTTTTTTTCGAAGATTATTCCAGAATTTGTTCTTTTGTTTATTTACTTATTCATTATTGTTTATGATGTAATATCCATGAACACAGATTCCCAAAATTTTGTTGGGTAGTGGATGAAGATTCTAGGAATAGAATAGAAAATTCATTTATTAACTTGAGTTTTTTTTTTTTTTTTTTTTTTTTTTTTTTTTTTTTTTAATTGGCATTTTCATGCTTGTGTTGTTGTGTATGTTTTCTTTTATATTATTTTTTTTTCCAACCTCTTACTATAATAATCATTATCATCATTTTTGTCATCATTATTATTACTATTGTTTTATGCATTAGGGTCAAAAGGTCAGTAATGAATTGACCTTG